CCTGCTCCCGCTCCTGCTCCTGCTCCGGCTTCAGCTGCTGCTGCTGCTTACAGCTCCACTACTCCTACTAGTTACTACTACTGCTACTGCTGCGGCGGCTGTTGCTGCTGCTACGACTACCACCACTGCAACCACTACGACGACGACGACTACTACTGCTACCACCACCAGTACTACTACCTCTTACAACCACCACCACCACCACCACCACCACGACTACGACGACTACTACTACTACGACTACTACTACTACTACTACTGCTGCTACTACTACTACTACTACTACTAGTACTTGTACTAGTAGTACCACTAGCATTCCTGCTGCTGCTGCTGCTGCTGGCGCTACTACAGTAGTAGCACTCCTACGGTACTCCTACTGCTAAGGGGAGTCTCGATCTGGCCCAAGGATTGGGCTCACAGGATCGGGCTACGTGCAGCCATGGAGCTTGAAGAGACCTCGCCTCAGCAAGGAGTACTCGAAGGGCGCCTTCGCTTTCAAGTAGGCTCGGACCTTAACTGATGCCAGACTGCCGACGCCACAGAGCGGAGCTCCGAAAACCCAGCCCTCGCTTGCAAAAGTCCTACGTCCAACAACCGGTTTTTCTCCAGGTGCCTAGGCTCGGAAATCCCTTGGGATGTATTCCAGCGATGGGTTCTGGGTGAGGTTTGTACTCAGGTGTGCTCGGGTACGTCAAATCCTAAAGCCTCTACTGAAAAATATGTATCGACAGAAGCCTTAACGCTCAAAAACAGTTGTGATATGCCTGGATTGCCAATGATTCAGACCTCGTGTTTACGACCCCGCTCTCCCTCCCCTGGAGAAAAACTGCAAGGCTCCTGACTCCCAGGATGCGGCTGTTCTGCACCATCAGAGGCAGTAGGTTGTCCTGGAACTAGGTGTAAGTTTCAGGGTTTAGAAAGCAGGGTGTTATGAAGCTGCTAAGGGTTCATCAATGCCGAACTTGCGGGATAAAACAGGGGGGTACCTTGAATATCGGAAATTTCAGCTCGAGTACAGTATAAGTGAGTAGACTGTCCTTGATGCTTGCCCGTGCTCTTGTGCTACATGGGCCGAGAAGCCCTCAGACCAGGAAGACAGACAAGCTTTCAGAAGAATCATGAAAAATTGCTACTCGTAACAAGAGTTGAGGCTGCAGAGGGCACCGCGGCGAAGATTCTCGGCCCCTGGAGGATTCCATGAATGTGGGGGATCCTTTCTATGTTGAATCAACGAAGGCCGGTAGTCTCAGGTGCTTTGAAAATTGGGCAAAACTGTCCGTCCTGCAGCAAGCGCGACACGTGCCTCAATTCACCGATGGCCCAAACCTGGACTGCAATAGTCTACTTCTCACGACATTCGCGAGCCGGGGCCACGTATGCCTCTCCAGTCTTAGGGGCAGCTTCGGAGTGTCGTCTGCCGTAAGGCCCTGGCGCACCGGGCGAGCTGCTTGTTGTTCATGTCTGGGACCTTGGCGTGACCACACATCCTCTGCGAAAGCCCCTGATTGGCGGTGAAAGGTCTGCCACGCGCGATGACAGACAAAGAATTTGGACTGAATCAACCCGTTGTCTTGAACGGGTGGTGTGACGTGCCAATTTCGTCTGCCTCAAGGGACACAGGTACAGATATGTAAATGCAACTAGGCTCGTGACTATCAAAAGATGTGTAAGTGAGGCGTGCTGAAGATCATTCATTGCGCAAGTTCTTGGGGTCATTGCAATGAACACAAGCCTCCCCACTAGAGCACCCAAGGTCCACGCAGACGAGTTCACGTAAGACAAGCCAGCTTCCGACTACTCCGAGCAAAACCGAAGCACTGACCCCCGCGCTTGAACTGGCTGCAGCGAAATGGAGGCAAGCGGAAAGTGCTGGCTTATGCTTTCTTTGGGCGCTTTTGGAATTACATTATGATACCGCAAGAGCCCCGAGCCGGCAACACTGTTCGTGGTCGAAGCAGCCCAAACACCAGCAAGTAGTCATGCTAATATGCTCATCACCGTGCACAGCACCGTCATCTTAAAAGTCATCATCATGAAAAACATACTGATCGTCAAGCTCCGCGTCGTCCTCCTCCATCATCATTCGCATCATCCCCGTCCTTGTCCTCGTCCTCCTTGTCCCCCCCCTCGGGCCCTTGACCAAAATCACAGCAATCCTTCATTTAGACAACGAAGAGCCTCCGGGCTTCCCAGCCGCCTGGGCCGCCTCCTCAGCCACTGGAACCACGAGGCGATGGAGGACTGGAACATCCTGGCTTTGGAGACAGGGCGGGGAGATGCATACAATGGGTGTGGTCGTGTACGAGTGAGCAGATATGTCTTTCGAAAGTAGATAGCTAGATGATGGCAGTTAGACAACCAAGTGGATCCAGGCGTGCTTGAGAGCAGGGTCGGGGGCCCTGGGTTGAAGGCTCGGAAGAAGCACACGAAATCCACTGAAGAACAGGGCACCGGGAGTCTTCCGACATGCAGAACACCAATCTTATCTACTCGGAAGCAACAACACGAGGGGGGGCCTCCACGCACTCACAACTCTCTTTCTGATCCACCTGCCCTAACAGCTCGAATGCTCTTGCGCAGACACTGCTATGTTGAATGTCCTGGTACACGGCCAGAGCGTGCAGGAGCAGAGTGCTCCAGCGCGGACCCAATCCTGGCGCGACTGCAACTCGAGGGCACAATGGTGTCGGTTCATTCGGTTTCATTATGTAGTATCATTACGAGTACTGTATACGCACGCTTGCTAAGCTCCCGCTGGGCCCACTTGGTCTGAGACGCGCTATTTACAGGAATGCGAGGGCCCGAGGATAATCCGGCGCTCCCGAGACTCATGGCTGTGCAAACCAGGCTGCCTCCATCCTCGTCTTCTATCTGCTGCCTGCAAGAGTCTTCCGCCACAAGGGGGGAGCTTGCGTTCTGGAACGGAGTTTCGTGCGGGAACCGGGAGCCCCAACAGACAAAGGCTCTCCGAAGGCAGGGTGCGGCTGGGACAGGGAAGAATCTGAGGCCCAGGACATCAGGGCGGTGGAACTCTTGAGTCTGAAGCTGGAGGGGACCAGCTTCAGCAGTCATTGGGCGAGTGAAGAATACAAGTTCCAGGTCTAGAGTCTAGAGCCTCGGGCTGAAGATGTGTCCCAGCTCAACCCACCAGACAACTTTTGGACATTACTTGCTTTTAACATAGTTCTACTCTCTGCATCAGTTATCACCGTTGCAGTGGCAATGAAAGGTTTTAAACCTCCAGAAGCAGAAATCATGCTGGCCCACTTACAACAGCGAAAACTAGCGGACTAGCGGCACCATTCAGATCAGTGCTACAAGTAGTGTCTGTGCACCTTATCAGGATGAACTCCCAGTGACTCTATCAAAAACGCAGCTGAGGCTGCAAAAATGCTTTGGTCCGCTCGACCAGCGCTCCCAGCCCGGGCCTCAGGTAGTGGTAGAGAGTTCAGAGTAGTCTAAGGAAGGCAGTTGCATCTGCTTCAAGCTCATGCTCTAAAGCGCTCCAGGCTGAGTGCCCTGACACGCGTATATCAGCCCACCAGTACTACATTCTTAGTAGTGCAATCAAGGGCGAGCGGAACCCTCGTGAACAAGATTCAAATCCAATATGTGGTCAACCATGTGACTCGGCTTTGCCGCGCTGATGCTGAAGTCTCAGACCCGAGAGCCCCACTGGTCGCCGAGCCGGGCCAGATCCTCCTCATTCAAGCTCGGCCTCATGGACCACGGACTGCTTCAGGCTTTCATGGGAGTGACATTCAAAGCTCAGCGTTGAGGACCCAGGATAAGGGGGACCTCAAGAGAAGCCTGTAAAGCTGAACCGGTCACGAGGACCCGGGGGGATTCAGGGATCGCACGCAGGTCTGAACCACGCCCCACCTCTGAACCACCAAGGTGTCCAGTGCCCGCACGGCATGCTTCATCTCAAACGCAGGCGAATGCACCTCAGAAGGGCAGGAACGGAAAGTCGGAGGACATTGCTAGCTCGTGGGTTCAGCTTGTAAGAAGCCTGGAACCCCAGTTCACGGTTGATGCCACGGCTTTCACCGCAGTTGGCCTACGCCTTTTGCTCTCAAGGTCGGTGGGATGAAGTTGCGACCAGCTTCGAGCAGAGCAATTTCATGTGAAAACTCCAGGAAGCCCCGCATCCTGCAACCCAACTGCCGCTGCTGCAACCGCTCCGAGCAACGCATCAACATCAAAGGGGACCAGAGTCCTGAACCCGAAGCACCAAAAAGAACCCGAGGACGGAACCGCGTTCTCCAGGAACTCGAGCAGCCTCAGCGCCTGCGTTTGGTCGGGCCGAATAAGAGGGGCTGTAAGATGCTGTAAGCCTCTGATGATAGCTTATTTTCGGGTTTTAGCTCGGCTGTCTTTTGAGCGTCTGGGAAGCACTCTTCATGCCTGCCGGATGGGGGTTTATGCCTGTAGGTTTGCGAAGCTGCATGAAGAAGGCCCGAAGACTTTCGGAGAGCGAAACCAATCTTTGCTAGCACTGCTATCCACATACCACCTCGAAGATTCCCTTGTTGGCACCCTGGAATAGGCTGACGCCTTCTGCAGGTTCCGAGATGGCTGAAACGACGAGGCGTGTAGGACGAGCCTTCCCGGACTCATCGATTTGTAGCAGCAGCTTGGAGGGGTCCTGTGCAGGGGCAAATGGGCCGCTACAGCAAGAGAGGGGCAGGTAGGAATTCGGGAGAAAGTTGTTGCGGTCAGTTGCTCTGTTCAGGCGTTGGGTCTGACCAGGTCGCCAGCACCCCATAGACAAAGAAACCCAAAGAAAGCAAGCAGCAGCAGCAGCAGCAGCAGCAGCAAGGCGGGCCTCGGATGGCGTCGGCAGAGGCAGCTCTTTGCTGATCTTGGCTGCAGGGCAAAGACTCTCGTGTCTGGCAATCTGAGGACTCTCGGAAGAAAGATCCACCGGCAGGAGATCCATCTCGGATTTGCTGAACCCCTTCCCACCTAAACGGCGAATCTACAAGTGCGAAAAGCTGCACATCCCGAACCGACGTCTCTGGGTGCCCTGGACAGGTTGGAGCTGTCAGCTCGGTGCTATCCGCCGAAATCCTCATGCTTGACTCTGCACTAGGTCGCACACCAGCTTCCACTCTCCATCCTCCCGAAGGTAGACCCTGAGCCAAAGATCTAGAAGTCCAACTGGAAATGAGAAACTCTGGTGCATATTCATGCTTCATATGCAACCCTGTTTGTGGCATGTGGACACGGGCCCGACAAAGTTCAAACTTTCTGCTATACACCAAATATATAAGGATAAACAGTTTAAAGTTCTCCCTCTTGGCTATCTAAGTTTTTAAGTCAAGATGCAGGAAAAGTCCGTGAGATCTGGCAACTGCCTACCAACAGCTTGGAATGATTGCATGCACTTCCGAAGAGTTATAGTCATTCCAGGTTTTCGACAGCTTCCAACATAAAGCCTTCACCAAAGCCCATCTCCATGATGTGAGGCTTGGGCAAAGCCTTACAGATCCAGGGTCTCTTCGGTGAGATGGACTTCTTGGCTCTGACAGCTGTCGAGACGATGCAGAGAAGGGCATGGGGAAGGTGGGGTTCAAAGCAAAAGGAGCCTCTTCCTCCTCTTCTTCTTGATGGGCGGCTCTCTTTGTAGCTCCTCCTGGGAGGGGCCGTGCTTGTCTAACAAACAAGCATGTGCTTACGCAACGAGAATGGTGATACAGAGCTTGATGCTTCATGGCTTGCCGGAATGTAATTATCCCACGGAGCCTTCAGCATCACTGACGAGGGAAACCAACAACGAATCCGGACAAGAAGCCCCAAGCTTAGAAACCGCTCGACTAAATTCATTGAGGATTCTCCACGGAAAATCAAACCCGGCCCAAAACCTAAATGCCAGCGCCGGAGAACGAGTTGACCATGTGCTTCCAGCAGGTACACCAGTACACCACAAGAGTGGTCCGCGACGAAAGTTCCGAGGTTTGGAGACCAGGGTCCAAGCGCTTGTAGAGCAATGCTACTCACGCCACTCGCAATTTGTAATCACGGTTATTAACGGCTAAATGGCACCGCATTGGCAACTAGCCATCACACAAACTACGCTAACCTCAAAATTAATCAGGAGTCACTTGTAATATAGCCCTGCTCAGACTCCAAGACAAAGAGCCTCAACCGAAACGGCTCCTCGGTGATAAAGAACGCGGCCTCCGAGGCAGCATTCGTCACAAGACTTGTTTGGGGCAACTTTACCCGCCCCCCCCGGTTCTGCAATCTTCAAGCTCCACGGCCCAACTTCAGAATGAGCCCACTGCCAACGATGACAAATCGGTTCTGATGAAGTATCGGTAAGATTGCTATGTTGCGGCATGCCAAGAGAACCACTATCCAATTCTGCACGCATGCCCATGCACGCATACATACGTGCGTCCATGCAGACATGCATACATGCATACGTGCATCCATCCATCCATCCATCTATCCATTCCCGTTCCATACATACATACCTACATACCTGCCCAGCTAACCTACCTAACTGCCTGCCTGCAACAAAACCTGCCTGCCTACCTACCTACCTACCTACCTACCTACCTACCTACCTACCTACCTTACTACCTACCCACAAGCGTTTACACATATGCAGACATGCTGACATAGAGTACATTGCATGTAAGTTACGTGATTAACATTGCCATGGTCATTACCAACCACAACATATATATAGCAAAGATGCTAACATCACATGACATGGGGCTCTGATGGGTTCTGACATTTTCTGAGTCGATCTGTCGGCACATATATGTTCGGTAGACGATTCTTCCGGTGCCCTGGGCCAATGAAGCTGTCATCGGAATCCCCGGCCTGCGACGTCTTTGCGCCTGCAGCACGACCCTGGGTGCCTGTGCCTGCTAGAGCGCGAAAGAACGACAGGGGCAAGAGCTTGCGGTTTCATCAGGTGTGCAGATTGCGAAGCTGCCAGGACCTCGTACAAGTATGCTGAAGAGACTTTGAAGAGCTGCAATGAAGGGCGGCTTCCGGCTTCAAGCTTTGAGAATTGCGGTTTTCGCTGTCTTTCCGGCCCTCTCTTGAAATAGCTCATGCATTAGGGGCATCCCACCCAAAAGCTTGTGGCACTGGTGTTTTGGTTCCTGATCTGAAGCAGACCACAACAGAACTCGTGACCGGGCAAGACCCGGATTCAAGCAAGTGGGGCTTCAGCATTCGAAAGGAAAACACTTGCAACTGGGGGCTTACAAGTCGGAGCACCTAAAACTGCGAGGTTTAGAAGCACTTCGGAATGACGGAGTCCGCGCTTGGCAGGGCTTAAAGCTACACTCTCGTTGCCATGGCACTGAAGCCCACGAAAGCCCTGGAAGGCGATGCCGGGGCCTTATCATGGCACTAGGTTTCGGGTTTAGGGCCGTTTACTGTAAGGTTGGGGTAGGTTAGAGCTTGGAGCTTGCGATTCTAAGGCAAGGGTGGGGCTCAGAAGTCTTATTGCTGAAGTTTAGTTTGCGCAGTTTGGGGCTCAAGCTTCAGGACTTAGGGGCGGTGGAAGTCGTCCAGAGAGGCAGGGGATGTAGTCGCATGCTTTGTGCATTTCCCAAAAGCTGTTACAAAGGATCCTTTGAAAGAGCGGGTAGGACCCATCACACTCATGATGTGGGACATCGCAACACACTGAGACTCACGGCAGTCGAAGCCCAACGGCGCGCGATGCTGCTGCCTCTTCAAACCCCAAATGCGCTGAGTCTCAGGGTTCTGGACATGCCTAGTCACGAGGCTGCTACTTACCTGAGAAGCTGAACATCTCAAAAGGTACCGCGGCTCCATTTGCAAGACTGAATCAAAATGCTCCCCCAAACTGCTCCAAGCCGCAGAGTTCACGATGGATCCATCCCCGAAGCCCCAAATCCACGCCCGCACACTTTGAAGCCTTGACTCGACTCTCCGTCTAAGACCCGCAACTAGCTCGAAGCCTCAAGCCCCTGAAAGCTCAAGGCTTTGCAACTACCGCAGAGGCAGGCCCAAACGGCCCCTTCTACTTTGCCCCAGAGATACGTCTGGCCCGAAGGGGGGATAAGCAGGGCCAGGTGGCGGTCCCTGATGCCCTTTCTCGAGTGCCTGCGGCTAGAACCAGGGCCGCCAAGCTGGCACCTGCTTGCGCCAAGGCTACAGGCCAAGGGCTGGCATTGGCGTTACGATTTGGGGCACGGACTGTCGACAGAATGTCAAGCATTCCGAGAAGTGTTTGTGCTACAGAGAAGGAGGCGCGAAAGAAGATCTTGCAAGCGCTTAACTGTAACTAGAGACTTGACTAGGCCAGGCTAGAGCCCTTGCCTTCAGCCCCGAATCCAAACCCATGGACAAACTCTGGCCTAACCATCGAGGGTGCAGCCGCAAACGCTGGCCGAGACCCATGGCCGGAAGCTTCTGAGGTTTTCTTTCAGTGTGAGCACACTTGTGGTGAAAGGCCATTCGTCTGGAAAAGCGCCACGTTAAACCCGCAAGCTCTGCTGGTGTCTTCGAATCCTGGATGGCAGCCCTGTTAGTGGAGCCGCTCCTTGCAGGATACGTGTGTCAGCTAGGCTTTCGCAAAGCGACTGATTACCAAGTGTCTCTAATCGCGCATGTACACAAAGGTGTACATGACTGATGTCTCTCTCCAGCAGAAAGCAGGTGAGCCGAGCTAAGTGTTCCGAGGGCGACTTTGGGTTGAGCATCTTGAGGATCTTCTGATGATTCTTCGCCGAGTTCCGACATGCTAAAGCTGTCCATGCACGCAGGTTGGCTCAAAACGCTCGAAGAGCTTGAGCCACGCAAGATGTCGAAGACTTCGCATTTCAGAAACCAGGTGGGTATCATCGGAGCTATCATGGCCGCATACTGCGCACTACAAATAAGTACTACTCAAGACGGCTTGGCGACACGTTAAAACACTCAGCCAGGTCCTTAATGATTCCTCTGCCCGCCTGGCTGTTGCGCCCTTGCCTGGCCGGAGCTTGAGCAAGCGAGGGAGGCCTTTCCGGGGAGCTTCAGGGTCGCGTGGGATTTGTGCAGCCTCGCCAAGAACCCTGAAGCCCAAACCTACTCAGAATGGCCCAGTTCAGCCTGGCCTGTGCGTGGCGGGGAAGGCCATCGATGTCTCCTCACACCAGGTAACAGTTGGCATCGAAATTGTGGCTGCGAAGCTTTAAATTTCTTCCACCAGCAGAAAACGAAAACGACCGACTAGAATCCTAAATCCGCTTGGGAAACCTCGCATACAGTGTACATACAGTTTAAACTTCAAACTATCTTCAAACTCCAGACCCCGAAAACATGAACTGCAGCCCTTCAAATTGTCGCGGGACTCTGCAGAACCATGCGTGTTTGGAGTGTTCAGCAACTGGCGTTGCGAATAATTGCACGCCTTTGCGGATGCATACACGAATTCCCAACAACTCAATCCCCACCAGCCTGCATCGCAGAGCGCGACAGCGCTGGGAACGATCGGCGATGGCCGATGTGCACCAGCGGGGCCTCCCAACCCAACGAGACTGCTGTCCCAACCACTCAAACAATCACTTAAACTAAGGGCGGGACGCCCAAACCGACCAGTACTCAAGCATGACGGCGGTTTCAGCTACATCAACTTGGAACCGAAGACACTGAACACCTACAAGCTAAGTACGGATGGAGACGTTCGGTTGCATGGTCTGGGTGACTTGGTTGGCTTCATCGTTGTCTTTTTGGGTTACAGGTGCATGTCTACATGTCATGAAAACCCCCTCCCCCCCAAGCATGGGTGGAGGTCTTTGGAAGGCTTGGGGCATTGGACTGTATAGGGCATCGCGATGCATCGCGAAAGCGCCCTCGCGCTCCAAGCAACCAAATTCCTTTGAACTGAACGTTAGAACCTCACTAGTGTCCGCAGTGCTTGGAAAAAATACCGAGCTTCGGGCAGCTCCCCCAGGCTGGGGCGTTGTGCGCAGGCTGTCGTCGGGACTGACCTCGCGATGCTTGCAAAAAACGGGCCCCTCGGAGGCGGACCCATGCATGTTTCAGAGAGACAGGCATTTTGTTATGGTTCAAGACTAGTGAGCTTTGCGGCGACAGTTCGCTTGAATGAGTTGACCCCGTACTTACATGAACTCCGGATTCCTTGTATGACTTGTATGGCCACCGAAACCCAGTCCTAAACTTGCAAACCGTTGACTGCTTGCACCGTGTGAGCCTGAAGAGCCGAGAGCAGACAAGACGATACTGTGGCAAGACCAGCCCCAAGCTTTGTGCCTGCAGCTCCAAAACAAAGTAGCGGAAAGCTGCACCAGTAGCCTCCTTCCTAAATCACAGCAGAGGCCAAAATGATTTGAAGCAATAGCAGAACGAACAGAACTTGACATAACCATAACTTAAATGCAAGTCGCTTGCAAGGAAAACCCTTGCCAAACCGCTGGATCCTACAAGACAAGCCTTGGGGCTGGTCGGTGCCATCCCCAGCGGCTCAATAGTCACTCCTGTTCAAGTTTTTTCGAAAGCCGGCTTAGCTGACTTTTGAGGGACCTGGTGAGGGCTTTTGAGTTTGGGCACTAGTCACTAGAGCTCTCGCCCCCCCACTTACACCGAATTGCACAGCCCTTCATGTTATCACCGATCTGGGGCGAGGTGTTGGTCCGTCCA